CGCTAAATATAAATACGTGGTTGAGATAACACACGCGTGCATGAGATAATTGTATCGTAAATATGCATATTATATGCATCATATTCTCAGTACCATTTTTATCGAGAAAACAACATTCATTGCGGTTGCAGTATTTTTTATATAATTTCTTAGTAATACATGAATGTATCGTTTGTCCGGCGGAAATTCCAATTACAAGTTGCACATGAGAGTAGAAATTTAGAAATATAGTAAATTCGTGTATGATTATTGTATATTTGCTGCCTAATTTTTTTTCAGTCAAGATTTTGATTGGGGGGTAAACGAATTTATATTTGCTATCTGAGATTTTTGACATCATTCTCTATCAGGTGTTGGTTCATGAAATTGGACATGCTCTCGGCATAGCACATAGTGCTTCTCCGAATGCTATTATGTTTGCCTTCTATCAGCATGAGATTCGTGGTCTAGATGTTGATGATATAAATGCAGTACAATATCTATATGGAAGAAAAAACAAATATGATTCAATCCCAACGTCTACCACCGCATCAGCAATACCAAAAACAACAACAACTATAAGATCTACAACTCGTAAGCAGCCGATCCTCAAAAATTTGTGTGATATTATTCCAGATTTTATGTTTTTAGCTATTGCTCCAGAGTTTTCAAATTACCGATTATATATTGCACATGATATGTTTATATGGAAACTAGACTTAAACGAAATGATTATCCCATCTCAGCCTGAACTTCTTGTCGATTATGTTCCTACAGAATTACGTCAATACACTCTATATATATTTTCCAATCAACAAACGGTGACTTGATTACCATTGTGTCTCCAAACAACTATTTCTCAGCATCATTCCCTACCATTAAATTTCTTGATAATTTTTCAATTGATATACCCGATAGGGCTCGAATCAATGCTATTTTTCAATCAAACGCAGGACGGTCCTATACCTTTTATAATAATATGTCATATATAGAATTTTCTAACGATTTTACTGATGTGTTGAACAGAGGACGGATAAGAGACATATTTCCTGGGTTACCTGAAGTTTAGGGAAAAAATTAAAAAACAACCAGAACTGAACCGTGAAATACATAATTTGATTCTTGTCTGTCATGAACCAAATCAGTTGTCGAACAATGATTTGAGTCGATTAGTATCAACATCTAAAGTACTCCCTGATATGTAGTTTTATTGAAAATACCTCTGGTTTGCGAAATAATATTGTCGGAATTTCTTGTTGCAAGTTGTTCAAGCGCGGGTATTCAAAACATGGCACACACACACACACCAATCAACCTTATTGTTATATATACTATATGTTTCAATAAAATATCCATTATACTATTTTCATTTTGAACGGTATCATCCTGTATAATAATAACAGTACATCGTATACAGGTTATGAGACATTCTGACCGACCGACCGACCGACCAGAGGAGCCCACCACGCTATTTAGGTCACGCCTTGCTATATACGATTTAACGATATACCGTCGGTCCATCGATCCGCTATTTTTCGATGCACCCCTGTATACACGTTGCCCCCCGTAATCCACGCCAACACCAGACAGGTGCGACATCGGCGCCATCTATGCGCGAGATGCCCAACCCATCAATGGCAGCTGTCCAATGACACATAGATTCCGTTTGGTTTGTACAGCGCCAAACAAATCGGCGCCATCTATGCGCGAGATGCCCAACCCATCAATGACAGGTGTCCAATGACACATAGATTCCGTTAGGTTTGTACACCGCCAAACAAATCGGCGCCATCTATGCGCGAGATGCCCAACCCATCAATGACAGGTGTCCAATGACGTATGACAGATGACGTTTTAACGCCATCTATGCGTGAGATGCCCAATGACGCATGACAGGTGTCCAATGACACACAGATTCCGTTTGGTTTGACAGCGCCATCTAGCGGCGGAATCCCCAACTCATGATTACAGATTCCGTCCAACAACCTGTCAATGGCGCGCGACGCCAGCGCCTCTGGTGGCGGATTTTGGAAGTTTTGAGACCGAATCCCCATAAGACATCTACTGTGCTATCCCCGGTAATTCTACGCACCTATTAGATATATTTCAAGCATCAGAGATTTCCTCGTACATTTGCACTTAAAACTTGCATGACAAATATATTCTGTACGATTGCATTCGATGGATTCATCGCTAAATTAAAAGCAGAGAACACCAAGCAGCATTTATTTCGATAAATCGTTGCCATCGATGTATTTCTTTCGTTGGCGATGGCGATGTTTATCGATGTCTAAACATTGATATTGTCTGAAAGATTTTCATCAGTAATTGTGGGGCAGCCTGCATCAGTACAGTGGATTAAAATATCATTATCAATAGTCATAAGACAAAATGATTAATTGATCAGGCTACAAAAATTTGATTGCATGCGTTTGATCTCCCCCTAGGGAAACAGAAAGCAACTATACAGATTCGTCAAATGCACCCACAAGGCAAAATTTCTAATGCGAATCCAGTACAGTTTCACTTAGAATTCCATTTTCAGAGGAAATGAATTGACGTTGTTCAAAATGCGCATATCCTACCGGACTAGATTCTAGCAACGTATACAGGCACTAAAAGTAGAGTCACTCACATTACCGGATCCAAGTGTTTTTTTTTTTGGGACAGTCGCAGCTTTTATTTTTGATACATGAAATTTACTTGCGGTAGTCACAGATATTCGTTTTTTTTATGATGAAGCAGCCGCGTAGCCTAATACCAAGGCACTACGACTATTAAGATGAGCTCAAGGTTGCGTTGTTATTCCGATTTACGAGTTGTCTAAGAGGAACTGGGAAACGTTCCTCAGGCAAATTGTTCCACAATCTCGACACCCTATAGAAACAAATGAGCGGTCATATCAGGCAGTTCTGGATGTACGAAGTTCGACAGTGTTGGAATGTAGAAGCCAGGTGGGTGCATCTAGCAGACTAAACGCGAGGAGAGCTCCGAGGAGAAAAACCCGTTGACATAGCCATATCACCGACCGTGAAGTAGATCCAAGCTTACACGATATCGCTCAGGGTTTTCATGGGTTTCGGTAATAACGACCTCGATATAGCTAAGAAACTTTAATGGTGGTAAGGCACAAAAATAAACCACTAAACTAGGAAACATATAACCCGGTAATTATCAAGATCCCGGAAGATGATTGTCACGTCACCTGTTGCCTTTCGTACAGCCGCCGTTGATAAGAAGGGGTCCCGAGGCTGTCCGGTAGTCATCAATCAGTCGGAAAGCCCTCCCCTGAACAGCATCGAGTATGGACAATGTAGTCGTGTCGGCAGCATGGGAAATAAGGATATTATGTGGAGCCTCAAACAAATAACCTATCATTTCCCCAAGAGCTTTTGCAACTGACGAGATGTGTGCATAATCAAGCCCTCGGTGATCTGAACTCCGATCAGCTGAAATGAAAGGCTCTTTGGCAGAACTCGGCGACGATAGAATTATATTTAGATATAATTATAGACAATATTATAAAATACGGCTAATAACCCTAGCAGCTTATTTCTTTAATAACAAAAAAATAATATCAATAATAATAATAACCCAGACGCGTCAAAAGATTTGTCAAGAGGGACAACTTTTTTCAACCAAAAACTACTTCACCTTTTACCCTCGGCCCCCCGGGTCATTCCCTTATCAATTCTAAGTGACAAGGGGTATTGAATAGTAGCTCGTTTATAAGGTTTCTCAAAGTCCTTTATTTTGACGTTTGATTTTTCAAAATCAGTCAATTTGTTTTAGAGAAAATTAGATAAATCTTTATTTGTCTTAATTTGTTCAGATAGAAAACAAAAGCACACGAAAATATCACTTTTAATTCCAATAAGTGTTCAAAATGTTGTCCGTTAGGGTTTGCCAAATCTACAATCCGTTTATAATTTAAAACGGAAACTACCAACATAAACAGCAATTCGGAAGATTAGACGTGGCAACAACAAAATCACAACCCTAATTATTTCCGCATTCTTTTCATCAACCTAGATATCCTGGACGAACTGTATTTATTGTTATACCTGTTTGTTTTTTGTTGCTAAGGGAAAGAGAGAATTTGATTTGCTGTCAGTTACGTTTGTGACAATCTTGGGGTGGTGAAAATTAATTAATTGATTCAGATTGTACTTCCACAATGGTTTACACACTAGCCGAAAGAGTGGAAATGGTTCAATTGATGGTGCCCAAAATCAATGTGTTCGGCAAACTGCCGTCACGTTTTAACGCCAGACATCCGGGGAAGATAACTTCGCATAGGTATGTTTTGGAAAATAGGAAAGTTTTCAAGGCATCAATATCAAATATAAGCTTACAATTTCTAATTATATATGTGATGATCAAAGCTTTACATACAGATCATATCGTTCAAGAATTACACCACTTAGAGTGGAGTGTAAGTATACCTATACAGTCTTATTCTGCTTACGTGTATATGTTATTTTGCATTTACTGAAATTGCATTGAATCCTGTTCATACAGCACGATAATTGAAGGTTATCTAGCTGAGATTGTAGATGTTTACAATCATTAATGTTGCTAATTTGACAAAATACGTTTAAGTCGTCAACGAACAGCAAAGTACCACATTTTAATTCATCGCAAAGATCATTGATAACTAGAAGAAACATGAGAGGATCCAAGTTTGACCCTTGGAGCACCCCTGAAGTGACCAAATACTGCTGAGACTTGTATCAACTATAGGTTACGTGCAAGCAACGATCATAGACGAGAATAGTTTTCCTTATAAGAGCCGAGAATAGAACTGGTTTGACCGTAGAATGCTCCTACTGTCTGTAGTAGGTATACCATTAGTTTCTAGACAGATACATGGCAAAATGTACGTGGCAGCACAATCGGTTTTATCTATTATGCATTTTTATTTCCGTTGACAAGTTCAATGAATCAACAACTACAATCTTACGACAAAACGTACAGAGTATGTGCAATTATGTTAAAAGTTTTTTTACATGTGTAGCATTTTTATGGATTTTATACATTTGTGATAATACTTAACAGTTCAATATTAATATGTAATTCACATTTACATATATGTAAAGATGGAGCCTCCTGGTTGTAGTATATACAATCATCTTGCCTGTCAAAGATAGCCGCAGATATTTTCCTCATCCAGAATGCTGCCAGTCACAAATAAATTACCGGTATTTCAGTTTTCAAATTAATACCTGTATGTTATGTATGCATGTATAATAGGTAGTATGTTTTGTAAGCTATGTATATGCAAAATAATCTGTTACTCATGAAATAGCCTTGTCAAATATCATGCTAGCATCTAATTTTTTTCCCGTGAAAAAAGAAAAATAATGCAATGAAATATTTTTTTAACAAAAAACATTCGTGCAGGTGCAAAAATCCTCATCTTCGACTAGGATTTTTGTTGCCATCAGCACTCATGTTTCTTGTTAAAATATTACTTAACAATGTGTTTTTTCGATTTTTTTCGGAGAAATTAGGGTTAGTTTGTCTCTATGTTTCATATTCGAATGTCGTTTCAAGGTAATTTACTCGTAATGAATATTTTCTAAGGTTCAACTGTGAAAATATTCTGTGTTTCTTTTTTGAAATAACTGAAGTTTGGCAATGAAAACGTATGACATTATATATTTTTAGAATCAGAATAAAAAACTATTCACCTATGTATAAATCCGATACGGCAACCATAAAACACGATAAAGTTAATTGACGACAAAAGGCAAGACGTCATATTAAAATTCTAATTATGCCATTCTTGTAGAAATGAAAAAGGAAAAGTGGCAATGTTACTTTTTATTTAGAGGTCCCATCTCAAATGAAGTAAGGAAAAAATAAAAAACGATTTTGTGAATTGCGAAACTTTCTAAGTACCATTTTTTTTAGTTACCTGAATGCTCTACTTTGCAATCATTTCACCGACTTCATACCTCCGAGATCCCAATGGTAGAAGTCGAATTTGAAACACCCGGTATAAGATGCATAATATCGCATAATCTCTGCCTGGTATACAGTGGCGTACCCCTAAGGGAAGTAAGGATTTTATTACAGGTTTGAAGTACCGGTCTCAATTTCCCCAAGCTCAAAATAAGGACCGCGCTCTGGCCAGGGGCCCCTAGATCCACAGGCCCCGAGATTCCTGTGTGCCCAGGGGCCCCCAAGTTTTTTCACCTAGCCTAAGGTCAATACAATCGGCAAATAAGGACACTCAAACTCCCCTCTTTATGCCACTGTGAACAAACAATAGAAATTTACACTCTGATAATACAGGAAAATGTATTACGTTATAGTTCGCACGTTCCCGAGCGCATATTTGTTTAAATTCATATCACAGGTACACAACGCTGCGACCAATTAAGTCATGAATGTCAATGATTCAAACACATGCCCTTATTTGTAGGCGATATGGGCATGTACATTATACTGTCACTGAAATAGAATGAAGACCGTTACAACATAATTTATATGGATTAGAACATATTAAGGTGCTTGCAGATTGAATTTTCTTTTTTGACAATTTATTTCAGACCTTAAAACAGTACAACAAGACTGACACTAAGATTTTCATATTACATTATTAGACTAAAATCTGAGTTTCTTTTCAGTCCATCATTTATATTTTTGACTGCCTTTCTTCTTCTCCTTCTAGTAAGTTCCTCGGTATTGAATTTTAGATTTGTATAGGAGAATTTTGTGTTATTTAGTTCTGACTGTATTATTTCTAAAATGTATTTTCGCTCTTGTATTGTAGTTACGGTTTTATTGTGAATTTTGTGTATTAATTTGATTTGTACATGACTTTAATTTGTTCAGGGTTAGCAAATTAGTTGTGGTGTACATAGTTCGAGGTATACGGGTTGATAAAAAAAATGATCCTTATACCTTTGTTTTGGAGTCTTTGTAATTTTTGAAATAAGGTAATATTAGTGTCAAATATCAAAATGTGGTTCAATGAAACTCTCGTATTTGAATCTGATATTTGTGTTCAACTGATGTGATCACTTTCTTATCGCTCCTACTGTAAGTACTACCTTAGTAATAATGTTGCCAATGGTTGCTTTCCAATTTAATCCGCTTGTTAATGTCAACCCTTTTATTGGATATTCGGGATTTCCCCTTATCTCGAATTAATCGTTTATTACAAAAAATATCGGAGCGTACTGTACCAAAGTGTGTTCGTGGTTGTGGATGAACCTTGAACAAAAAAATAAGGCTTTGGTACTTACCCTACACTCCAAAATGACTTGATCCTCCTCACAGCAGTACCCACTCAATTCCGTCTGCCACAGCAACACGTCTTCCGGTACCTCAAACTCAATTTGCACCAGATCCAAAGGTGGTACCCGTAACTCATCAACGCTCTCCTCAAATTGCGCACTGCATCGACACATCTCCGCATAACTTAGCTCTTCCTCCTCAGCGAGTGGTTCATCTTCTTCTATGGTACTTTCCTTAATTCAGTACACAGGGTGTTACAAAATAGCAAAATAAAAGCAGCATGAAAATATGATGAAATGTTAAAATAGACATTGATGAAGAGATGCCTTAGATTTAATTCTTATTTTATTCTTAAGCAGGAATCCTGAGGTAAATGAGAACGTGTGGATCTTTATTGCTCAATCACGGCAAAACGGATGAACGGATCTAGATGAACTTTAGTACAGAGATAGATTCTAGTCTGGAATACTCCATAGGCTACTTTTTAGCCCCAGAAATAACTTTGAAATATTTGTTCCAATGCTAGAGCCCAAACGGCTTAATGGAATTTGACGTCAGGTGTCAGGCGCGGAAGCGTTTAGACACTGGTCGGACCAAAATGAGTAAAAGTATATATGAGTAAATGCTTGAAAAAAGACTGTTCTTGCTCTTGCATTAAGCACTGGCGTAACTGTCCAAGTTTAAAGTCTTCGCACCATGCAAATGGAAAATTTACGTATGTGCCTATATTTATATAAAACTTTCTCATATTGCTGCCTTCAAATTTCCCTATATAATTCTGTAACAAGTTAGGATAAATACCTCTGTGGCAGTAACATCTGACTCCTCGTCCATGTCATGGCAGTACGGGTAGTACGGGTACCTCCTGAGATCGTTCTCCGATACGATAAGCACCTTATCGCTGTATGGCTCATAGTACTCCAAATGATACCTATCGGCAACAGATTCGCATCAAGGGGAATTTGTCAGTGCAAATATTGCATGTGATGATGCATCATTTGGTTTGGTCGTACTCGGAAATAGTATAGTAAAATTAGCTACATGATTATATGAATTGAGTGTTTTCCAAAGCTTTTACTTTTACCATCAATATTTTGCCTCCAAATGAATGTTCTCATAATTTTTACATTTTTACTTTCCACGCCTACTGACTGGAAGGTATTGTAATTGCGAAAAATTTTGAAAATGAAATATGATGTTTTTTGGATGTTATATGACATGTACATGCCGGTCTGTCTGTCAGTCTTTCCACTAATCTGTAACCGCCTATAACTTGAGAAGTGCCGCTTGGATTTCGATTAAATTGTTACATAATGTTACTACTATGCCAAGGACGCAAAGGCTTTGTACTTTTTGAAATTGGGTCTAGTAGCGGCAGAGAAAAAGGCCTAAAACTAAAAAAAATTAAAATCACTCCAACTTGAGAGTTGTAAGGGGGTGGGGATGGTTTATCTAAATTTTTTTATGCTGAAAAAAAATATTCTTGGGAGACAGATCGCGTAGAGTTCGAATATCCTAAGGTTATGCCCGCTACGTCATAACTTTGTACCCTCTCCTTTGCGTTTATTGTAGCCCAGAAGAATATAGGAAATTGTTGTGACAGTCTCCGGGGAGATTTATGGACATCTGTTAACGCACTCTTAATGTGGTCCAGTTCTAAGCCTGGCGTATATTTATAACGTAGAAAGCTTTATGTGGTTCAATGTTCAGAAATTCTATTGCTGTTGACGCAGATAAGGGACTTCCCACTCCCTCTAAACCATAGGCGGAATGTTTTTTAGTATTTAAATACGTAAGTTTCAGTTGGGATTGTTGACGTTTATTAGGTTTATTTTAACCCTAGCATATTTTGTATTTGATTGTGTTTAAATTATTAATAATCTTATGGAGTTTTTCGATATTTGATGGAGATCCATTATTCAAAGTTGAACAATAGTAAAAATTCCTCTATATTACAATCCACGTGACAAGGGTGCCTTTTTCAAATGAGTTTACAAACTGGACTTATGACTAACGGATAGGTTTATATATCTATATATTACAGGTAAAATGTATGTGATTAAGAAATACTTATAATCTTCAAGCTACTTATGAACGGAGACATTTAGCAACGGGAATATTCAAATCTATTTGATCGTTTAGCAGATGGCCGGTATTTTTAAGTCTATTTTTTTCTAAGGATTCCAGGTATTTCAGTCTTACACTTTTAATTTGTGTACGTAGGATCTCAAATTTGTCGTTAACCCTACGGTTTTCTTCATATAGATGTATAAGTTTGTTTCACAGGTACATATAAACAACCTCATAATTTCTTAAACCAAATTAATACTATTGTTCAACTTTAAATTATCAGTAGTTTTAATCGAGTGATCTAAACAATGTCCTCGAAAGAGGTTGGTGTGAAAGGAAAGGCAATTGGGAGTCACTAACTTCATGATAAAGGAAAGTGTAGAGGGATTAAAGTTTAAACTTTAACAATACCCGTATGTATAAATGTCAAAGGTTTTTTATAACCAATGTCAATTAAAACTGGCTTACCCATTTAGGAAACGTGTGTTAGCTGCCAGGGCAAAAAATAGCTAAAGAGAGCAGAAAAGGATTATATTCAAGTAACTTTTCATTTTCATCTCCATCTAAAAAGCGGCAAAGAAAATCACCTGTTCTGGATGAAGTGACTGCAGGACAAATTTAAGGAATCATATATGATTTTTATATTTTGGAAGAAAAAAAACCTAGGCAAAAATGTAAGTTTTTAAACTGTAGCCGTAGCAGCCAGTCATATTTCATTTTAAGCGGTTTTCATAAAGTTTTACGGCTGCCTCCGGATCATCCGGAACTAAGCCCAATCGAGAAAATTTGGGCTCTCGTAAAAAATTGGGTCGTTTCACGAAATGCGACACTTGGCTGTCTGATGTAAAGCATCTAACCCGTAGCAGATTTGATGAAATTGGAGTAGACGAGTGGAAGAAAATTTGCAGCCACGTCAAAAATTATGAAAACACGCAAATTAAAAAAGAACATCTGTATGGATGGGTTTCGGTTATATGTAAACACAGGCTCATCATCAGAGGGTAGTGAAGAAAGCGACTCAGATGAAGATTTGCAGGTAGACAAACTATCATTCGATAGCGATTAGATTTTTTAATAATAAAATATATAATTTGAATTAAAACCGTATATAATTTGCTCCCTCTTCTAATTCAAATCTGCATCCGAACAACTTAATACGCATATTAAATAGAATAATACAAAAATCTAAGAATCCAAACCTATTTATTATACTTCTAATAAAGCGGAACGCCACTACGCCCACGATGACGTCGCGGGCATATACTGTGGATTTCGGACTCTACCTAACGGCCGGAGCTGCTGCTGGAGTCGTGCGCTGACCGTGATGAGTGTTCTGGTATGGTATTACACTTATTTCTGCCACGCAACAGCATAGTGACTTATATGCTCTGACCTTACTATCACGGTACGTCTGCCGGAGTTAGGTATTGGGTAGAGGCGACGTTTCCAGATGCAGTACTGATAGATCAAGGAAAGAATGCCTATGGGCTAATGATATTGACCTGTTTGATTGACTTGTTTTAGATGTTCCGGTTTGTGCTGAACACATTCTGTTATGTACTGATAAGATCATTGCAAGGGAAGTGCAGAGTCAACCTATTTAACTCCATTTTGATGGACCAAAAGTGACAAAACTTCGTTTTCAAAGTTCAAGTGCAAAATTTCGAGCCAAAAGGTACGGCCATAGGGTACGAAATATGCCATCTTCGACCCCGAAAAACAATAAGGAAAAACAAAATTTATTAATGTTACCAAAGTTTCTAAGCATCTATTATTCAAACATCCATTAATAAAGTCCCAAAGCATCATTATTATTGCAAACCTTTGTTTTTTTACGCAGATTTAATACGCCTTTGGATTCACAATTGAAAACCAATGTTTACAATAACGATACTAAAAATGTCATGTTGTGTCTCAAAAGCAGATAAAAAATTCCTGATACCCTAAAATGGTTCAGCCCTGAACAGAGATGTAGTCTGTCGAAAAAAGATTGCCCATAAGATTTTTATAGAAATAAACCAATATAAGGACTATGTGACTTTCTCAGAGTCACGCTCTTTATGTAAAGAAGAACATAAGCGATGTCATACAATTTATATTGATCGAGTTCAGGAATCTTTGGTAGCCGATCCACGGCGCTTTTGGGGATACGTAAAGAGTTTAAGAAATTCAAGTAGCTTACCTAATAGTATGCACCTAGAGCGAGTTAGAGTGCAAGATGGGAAGACAATAAGTAATTTGTTTGCAAAGCACTTTAGTGGTGTATATGATAGTTCTGTACAGCATGTACCCTCTTTTTTATTTGAGAAGACAGGAGATATACTACTAAACAAAATTTCTCTTTAATAAAATCTTAATTCTCTCAGTGAAGTTTAGCTCGGGTCCTGACCAAATTCCAGAGGTTTTTCTCAAAGAATGTATCTTTACACTTACTAAACCCTTGCATCTTATTTTTAACAAGTCCACCCAAACATGTGTTTTTCCTGACACTTGGAAGCACAGTTATATTAAGCCAATTTTGAAGTCAGGAGATGTTGAAGATATTAGCAATTACAGAGGTGTATGTACCCAGTCATCAATTCCCAAACTTTTTGATAGCTTGATATATGATTAACTTAACTTGTATTGCCGTGGGCTTGTAAGTAGGTGTCAATTTGGGTTTGCTAAGGGTAGATCAACTGTGGAGAATTTGGTGTCTTATAAAGTTGATCTATTGGAGGCCTTGGAAAAGGGTCACCAGGTGGATGCAATATACACAGACTTTTCCAAAGCTTTCCACAGAGTGAACTTCGACATTCTATTAGCAAAGCTGTCAGCTTATGGTTTTTCAGAAAACATTATAAGATAGTTGGAGAGCTTCCTTAAGGGTAGGACTCAATCTGTAAAAATTAGTGGACATCTGTCTTCGGAATTCAAGGTTACATCAGGGGTTCATCAGGGGTCCCATTGTGCTCCCTTCTCTTCATTTTGTTTGTGAATGATATCCCTGATGTTCTTATTCATTCTAAAGGAACTATTTTTGCTGATGACCTGAAAATTTACAGGACAATAGCGGAGAAAGATGACATGGTAGATCTTCAGCGGGACCTTGGACGCAGCCTAATCACATGTATCTGAACTCTAATAAGTGCTTTTTCATAAGTTTTTTCAAAAGTAGGAGGAGAATTTCAACTGGCTATAGATTAAATAATGATACTCTCTCTTATAAGGCTACCACTAGGGATCTTGGAGTGCTTTTTGATGAAAGGCTTAACTTTTCAGACCATGTTCTCAAACTTAGTATAAAGGGCATACAGATGCTAGGCTTTGTTTGGAGAAACTGTAAGTGTTTTTCAATCAATACCTTCCGAATTTTATATTGCTCCTTGGTAAGATCAAATTTAGAATATGCCACAGTAGTATCGTCCCCTCAGTACCAGTGTTATAAAGGTGTTTTAGAGCGTGTTCAGTATAAATTTTTACGTCTTGCAGTATTAACGAGGAACTTAAACATGATGGAATATCATAGAGCCGACATGTTAGAACATTTGCGTTTACCTACATTGGAGCATAGATGCTTGGTCTTTGATGGTTGTTTCGCTTTCAAGAAATCTTAATGTACCCCGTAGAACATTGCGTAATAATAGTCTGATTGCAATTAAGTTCCATCCCACTACCTATGGTCAGCACTCTCCACTCGATAGAGCATTTCGTGCTATCAATTTAGCTCAGTCTAATATTGATATTTTTACCTGTACACTCTCAGACTTTAAAAATTATCTTTTAAATTGTGATTTTTATAACTAGGTATGTCTTGTGAGCTTGCATGTTGAAAATGTTGTTCCCATTTCGTGATTTTGTTTTGTAAACATGGGGTCACCCGTAAATTTGGTAAATAAATAAATAAATCAAATCTTCATGTCCTGAAACCCATTTTTAGTTCAACGCTACTCTAAAAGACTCATATTGTCAATCTTAGATATTTGTCAAAAGACAGATTCATTTAGATTTTCTTATTTTCCAAGCTTGTAAAAAGTCCTGGATTGGCCGAGCAAGATTTTGCGTTAATCCAACAAATGGGGACAATTTTGAACAGTTTTGTAACAACGGTATATATCCATTTAACTAGATAATGATTTTTTTAAATAATTTTTAATACACTATGTACACTAACTCTCTTATTATGCAACTTTTATATAGGTGATTTTTGGTACCTATATCAACTTCTTTTGATTAGGGGCCTGGGTTGGCCGGGTGGGTCAGAGTGTCGTGCTACTGACCAGTTCTACAAGCTGTTAAAATAAATGACTTAACTTTGAAGACACCCTGTAGAAGTATGTGGACGATATTCAATATTTCAGGTTCGAAAATAACAGTTATACAAACAAAAGAATGTTATGTTATATAACTTGTGTGAGGCGAAAGATAACTTTAAGCAACTGATATTTATGTATTTCTATTCAAAACAAATTTCTTCATATGCAGGTACCCATGCGGCAAATTCAGCCGTTTTGACGTGAAAACGGAACATACCAACATGCATACACGTTTTCGAATTTATACTGTAATATTAGTAGGTATATGATGTAAACCAAAGCTCAATGAACGCACCTAGAGTGACCCTCTGACGGAGGTGTAGGTCAAAAACATTATGTATTAACGTTAAATGTAAAGATAATTTCCATGACCTAAATTAATGTAATGGTTATGAATCAGCTACTACATAGATAAGACACCACAACAGCTGAACATTTAGGAAATTCACTGTCCCACAAGAAATCAAAAATATTCTTACGTACATCAAAAATGGCGTCAACTAGGTTGACTCTGCACTGCTCACGCAACGCCGTTATCAGTTCATAAATGATATTCAGCACAAACTAGACCCTCTGAGAAAAAAGTCAGTCAAACAGGTCCATACAATTAATAATAATAATATTTGTATAAATAATAATAATATTTGTATTAATAATAATAATCGTCTTTATTACCATATCTACAATAGGCGAGGTTTACCTCAAAGCTACTCTTATACCTAACTTTATATAGATGTAGTACACTGGAAGATTTTAGAATGAAAGATTTTATGTAGATAAATGGGATAAATATATAGTAGTAGTAGTAGTAGTAGTACAGGGTGCGGCGCTTAAATCCGGACAAATTCAATGTTTTACTTATAAACAAGTTTATTGACACAAAACATAAACAAAAGTGAAAATTCATTTACAGAAATATATTTGTATCTATTGAGAGTAAAATTACTCTATATAACCTCCTTCAGCCCCAATGACCGCATCGATCCTTGTCCTAAAACGGTCGCATGCTCTCTTTAAAACAGCGCTGTCCATATTGGTAAATGCTGCTTCGATAGCGGAGCGTAGAGATGCGACATTAGGGTGCCTGGACTTCTTAGTAATCCTTTCGACTGCGCTCCAAACATAATAGTCCAGAGGGTACAAATCCGGGTTATTCGGGGGCCAGAACTCTTTGCTCCAGAACATCTCCACGTTATCCGATAACCAGTTTTGGACTAAATGGCTCGTGTGGGCCGGTGCACCGTCCTGCTGAAAGACGTATTGTCTCCCTGCGGCCACAGTTACCATCCACGGTTTCACGACATTTGTCAAAACTTGCAGATAAACTTCGTTATTGACAGTTTGTCCGTTTTCGAAGAAATTTGGCGGCATGAAATCACCTTCACTGGACACAACACCTAGGAGGTGAACACTGGCCAGAAATTTTGTTCGAGCAACAATCGTGGTCGTGGGCGAGCCAGCGATCATTTTTTCGGTTTACCTTCGCGTCAACAGTGAACATTTTTTCATCAGAAAAAAATCTGATTTTTAGGTTATGGCGTTTTACTAGATGGCCATGGCTGTTAAGAACGTCAATAGCGATCTCGGGCGGAATTACTAGGTGGCGGGAAATTCAAATTGAAATTTGTCCGATTTAAGCGCCGCACCCGTTGTGTATATATACTAAGTGACATATAAATCCGAACACCCAGTTTAAATGGTTTTATTTTGATAAAATTTTGTATAAGTACTTAATGAAGCATAATAAGTAAATGATAAGAATTTCAAAATGATTGCACTGCTTTAAAGCCCTTTGACCTTTAATAATGTGTGGATGCACCCTGATGTGCTACGCATTCTCCAACGCGCCTAGGCATGCTTCTGATCAGGTGGTCAATGTCCTCCTGTGGTATCTCATTCCAGGCAACCACCAACTCCTCACGAAGTGCTTCTAGAGTCTGAGGAGGACGTTGCAAATTGAGCAATCTCCTACCCATCATATCCCACATGTGCTCAATTGGGGATAAGTCGGGAGTTCTTGGTGGCCATGGTAACAATGTGACATCATTATGTTGAAAGAAGTCTATTGTGACTCTTGCAACATGTGGTCGGGCATTATCTTGTTGGAAAGTTGGATCTGCCAGGGTGTCAAGATAGGGTAAAAGATGGGGCTCTAGAACTTCGTGGATATAACGCTGCGCGTTCATGTTACCTCTGATGAAGATTAAAGGTGACCTGGAACCATAAGCTATAGCACCCCAAACCATAACTCCAACTCAACAAAAAACTGTGTATTCCTCCTTTCACCACGTCGCCTTCTAACCCTGGCACGACCATCGTGCATGCCTAAACAAAATCGAGACTCGTCACTAAAGACAATACTGTTCCATTCCTGATCCCAGAGTGACCGTTGTCTGCACCACTCAAGGCGATTACGTCGGTGTTCTCGAGTTAAAGGGAGGACCCAGTGTGGCCGGTATGAAAACAAGCCAAAACTTCTCATTCGTCGGTAAACACTTCGACTGCCAATAGGTCTTCCGTGTTCTGCAAACCATTCATTTGCAATGGACCTGGTAGTGGAGAAACGGTCCCTTAAGGCCAATAATAATCTTAGGCGGCGATCTTCACGGTCTGTTGTTCTACGGCGGCGTCCAGTGCCCCTTGCTCTTTGCGTACGGCCTTCTCGAAGCCATGCCTGACAACACCTAGCCACAGTGTCTACACTTCTTTGCACTCTAACTGCAATTGCCCGAAAAGAAAGTCCAGCTTCCCGAAGTCCCACTATACGGCCCCTATCAAACTCACTAAGTTGACGAAATCGTACAGGTCTCCGTACTCAAGGCATCGTAACCGATCGTAAAGTATGTCAAGAACCTAAATCCGCCAACGTTGATTCTTTACTGCGGCTGAAATATTCATTTTTAGAGCGTTAGTGAATTAAAAAAAAACAGTATAAAAACCGGAATGTCCAACTGATGCGGCTGAAATTTTTTTCACTTAATATTTACAGCAAGATAAATACATTCACCAACATTTATTAAAATAAAACCATTTAAACTGGGTGTTCGGATTTATATGTCACGTAGTATATATATATACATATATATATATATATATATATATATATATATATATATATATATATATATAGTTCATTCCACGTTTGCTCGCTATGATCGGTGTTCGCTGACGTTTAATCAACACGTGTAGCTACAAAACGAGTTCACAACAATTGAACAACAGCTTGTGCTAAGTTAACATCTTGTAGAAAAACATATGTGATTGTCACAAAAAACCGACGAAATGTCACCTTTCAAGATACGTTAATACTCGTGCTGTTCAATTCACGGTGTATATGAAAACAACAATGACAGGTCTGTTACATCAAATGAAGGTTCGTAGTCTCTCTATTATGATCCATATTCAGATGCTCAAATATTTTCAACACACAACACAATGTATGACACAGAAACTTGAAAAGTAGCGTCGAATGTTACACCAAAAACTATAAGTTTAATAGTATATCATGGTAAAAGCAGTGTACGCAAATTTCTGATTCCATTTATTATTTAACATCTCATGTTACTTTTTTCATACTACAGCCTATCTTGAGGAGTATTCTTAATACTTTTCGTCTGATTGTTTCATGGTGTGTATAGAGATGACCGAAAAACTATGTTATCAGTTCCCTTTTTCGCCAAAAAATGCATTTGTTGTGCGTTTTTAATGTTTTTTTTTTCAATCGTAACTTGTTAAAAAATAATAGTAAATCTCTAAAACTGTACTTTTGTGGGAGAATTTAGCGGGAGATTACTTTTTCTCTTCTCTCCTCAAAAAATATTTTTTAATTATTTGAAGAGAAAAAGTGTTAGAAATAAAAGTAATCACACACAGTTCTACTTTAAACGTGGAATTTTGAAATACAATTTCCGAGCTGTACAATACTTATAATAAGTTTAGTAGTTGAAGAAAAAAAGCACAATAAAATGTATTTTTGACAAAAAAGGATTGATAATATTGTTTCTTAGTCATATGTATATATTTACACCATGAAATAAGCAGCTGAAACAGATTTAGAATATGTACTGCTTCAAACAGGCAGTTGAAAAAAAGGATATGAGACCTTAAGGCATTAACTTTTATATGTAGTAACTCGTTTTTTTTTTCATTTTTTACTAGGTGTTCGCATAGATAGACCAATGTGCGATGATAAAACACAAACGAAACACATCACAGGCACAGTTTAATCTCCGCAACTACGTGTTGCTCTATACACTTCTCACCATACCTGAGCTCCCTCAGCCAGCACATGACGCTCACACTAACTTCGTCGATTTCCTCCGGTTCTTCGCACATTTTCACCCACAACTACCGACTAAATGTCGCTCATCCGGGCGGTCACATCCTCTCTAAAGCCGATAAAGTTTATTTTAATGTCTCTGTCTGCGAGTAAACATCAAGAATATACTTGGTCTATTGATAAGAACAAACGACGCGTTGCTCGACGCACGCTAGATGCTGTTTGTCGCGATGTGCAACAGTTTTAAGGGTTTAGTCATCAATGAAGATGCTTGATGGGCGTGAATGGTCGCTGGTTTTAAGTGGTTTAATTGAGTATGGCCACGAATTGCAGCAATATGGGACACACAATAAAAGGCGTGCTGAGTATAGCAGCGGCGACGCGATGTGACGCATTTATATTCAGACCGGAAAATGATGTTGATGTAAATGGAAAATCGACGGTGTCGCGATGACAATGACGCGATTTTGATCGACGAGTCATTTCGCTATACTATACTATTCATCATTATTCGTCAGAGCGGTCCGGTGGACCTTAGTTAAAAGTCTCGTCGGTCTGTTAGTCTGTCAGGTCTGGCTACCCAGATACCAAACATGTTTAAGGGGAAAAGGGAAAGAAGGAAATAAAGGAAGGAAGAAATAATAATAATAATAGTCTTACATGGCGAAGTTTAGCATGTTGCTACTTTTACACTTAACCATATAGTCTCTAGCAGATGTTCAAAAGAATACACTATCCACAAACAGATTTGGTTCATTACATCGAAAGTAAAATTTAATAAAAGAGAAAAAGGCATACTTTCCAAACCCAAGTACACCAAAAAATTATTAATCTGAATTAAAGATGGAATAAAAAAGAAATGAATGATTACGTAAATTATATGTTTGGAGGGTTGAGTAATAATGTTTTAACTTTTTGTCGAAAGACAGGTAATGAAAATTCTTTATATACTTTAGGAAGGTCATTATAAATAATAGCAACATTGTAAGAAAAACTGCGTTTAAAAAGTGTGGACGTATGCAGGGGTATTCTAATATTATTTTCTCTGAGAGTTCTACATTGGACATCATTATTAAATGATTTTTTTTCCCTCAAGTAATAAGGTTTAGACGTGAGCAGCAATTTGTGAATAGAGCAAAGAAGAGAAGTAAACAATTTGAAATAGCTTAAGCATTACTGGTTTGACTACCCGAATTATTTTGCAACTCCTAACAATAATTTTGATTGTTTTGATCGGTTTTGTATACTGAAATAATTTTGGCTGGTCTGGATTTACAATTTAATTTTAATCACAGTGCGAGGCGCGGCCTGGAATGTTTGCGAACTTGCTCGACTATGTAGTCTTCTGAATCACGCACAGAGGGTTGCTGTGCGATTCCGCGTGATTATAATGCCGCTGCGCCTGTTGTTTTACATAATCTTTTAGATATGGGATATCAAGATCTCTGTGAATGGTCTCATTTGACACGTACCAAGGGGCGTTGGTAATAATTGTGCCTAGGGTTCTGTTTTGCAGGACTTGCAGTCTCTGCATGTGCGTCTTGGCATGAAAACACCAAGCCGCGCATGCGTAGGTAATTGCGGGTCTTATGACCATTTTATACAACCGAATCTTGTTGATCAAACTTAATTTTGAATTTCTGCACAACAAAGGATAAAGCTTCCGGAAGGTAATTTGGAATTTTGTTTTCAAAATATCAGTATGTTTCTGCCAGGTCAACCCCTTATCAATGATGACTCCAAGATTCCTGACAGATTGCTCCCATGGTATACGAGTTCCATTCACTGATATCTGTGAGAGGGTCATTTCGCTTTAAAACGTATCAACGGAGAACACTGGGCGCATTCAGGGAACCACATCGCTTAAAAACGCTAAGAGCTGAGACCCACATTTGAATCGATTAGTGCAAAAACGTCCAACAATTGTCAGTGACAAATAAAGAAGTATTAAGGTACCTTTGTGGGCTTAATGTAAAATTTGGTCTCTACAAGGTTACAATATTGAATAACCTTCACAGTTTATTAATATTTATGGTAAACGCCCGAAAAACTGTTATGGACAGCAAACAATAGTATGTAATTTGGGCAAAAGAATCATATTAATCATATCTTTATGGATTATAATTGAAAAATAGAGTAGTATAGAGTAGAGTTATTAGTCATATGATGTAATGATATACAGGGTGTTTCAAATTCGACCCTCGCTATTGGGATCTCGGAAACTGCAACGGATACAAAGTCGCTTAAATGGGGGCAAAGTTGAATATTTAGGTAATTAACAAAATGCCGCTCAGAAAGCTTCGAAATTCAAAGTACTTCGTCGGAAAACACGAATTTTCCCAAAATCGTTTTAATTTTTTCATAACTTTATTTAAGATGGGATTTCAAAATAAATTGCACATTAATATTGTCATTTTTTCTCCTCTACAAGATGGTATGATTAGAATTTCAATATGACGTTTCGTCTCTTGTCTTCCAGCATCAACTTTATTTTTCTTACAAACGCCATATTGGATTTTTGCACAGATGAATATGGTATAAGATGAATTCTTAACTCTGATTCAAAAAATGTATAATACGGCATACATTGAAATTGCCTTTGATCATTGACTTTAGTCATTTCAAATTTACAATTCTCTAGGTAGGTCTTGAAATGATCAGATAGTCAATTGTTTTGCATACCAGATTTATCTCAAAATCACTATTGTTTTTTCTTTGAGACGGGATTTTAAAATAAATTGAATGTTGTCATTATTACTTATTCTCCTCTGCAGGATGGCGTAGTCAAATTTTCAATTCGACATTTTTTCCAGGTTTGTTTTTTCGTAATATGGACGCTAAATTGGAATTTTGTACATTTAAATGCACTTTTCAGTCCAAATTCAGTGACTTTCTTAGTTGCTCAAGAATTTGTTGTCGGATAAAAATTATAAGGAAATAAAAAGTTATGGTAATACTTGAATACAACATGAAAATTTTATTGATTGTAATAACCATAATCATAAATAAGCAGAGGTAAATCATAGCAGATGTTCAAAATGTGGTCCATTATTTTGTAAGCAAAGCCTGACTCTTCTCTGTTCATTGTTCACTGCTTGATTTATTTTTCTTCTTTCCAGTCTTCCAAACTCTGTGGTTATCTTCAGTTTGAGGCCTGGCTGGTATACAAACCAAATGAAAAATAATATCAAGGCCTACCTAGGAACTACCGTTTTTATTGAATGACTGAGGTTTAGCAATGTCAATGGATGACAAATGAAACATGGACAAAGGCAATAAAACGTTACAAAAAACATGTGACTGGTTAAGATATACATGAAAACATTTATAAATTAGGATTAGCTACATCTAAGAGGTCATAAAAGCATTAGACTTTTTCATACTTAAATACAGTCTCCGGTGCTCAAACTTTGCTAATAAGCTTTTCAAAGCACCTCCCCCGCCTCCCCAAAAGGAGTTCCAAAATTGGGGTGCAACATGTTGCAGAAATAATGATTTAAAAACCTGCAGTTATACTTTATGTCTCTTATAATCAATGTCGTGCTACATGCCCTCCAGCCCCCCCCCCACAATTTTAACATTAACTTAAACACGTCGAAAAGTTGGTCAATCTGGATATAACTGCATGTAGGGTACTCATGGACACATTGAACCTATCAGCTACATACCTGAAGATGGCTGTTTGATATCCATCAAACCATAAAAATATACAGGGTGTTCCATAATTATTGCGACAAAATGATAGGGGTTGTAGAGGGCATAAAAATATGCAATTTTGCCTTATAAACCCCTGTTCGTAAATATGCCGTTTGAGCACTACAGTTAATTTTACCTTAAGAGCTCATAGGAAAAAATTCACCAGCTGCAAAATGTTCGTCTAGCACATTTCATGGTCTCACCGGTTTGTAAAAAAAGCCTGCTGTGTTTACATTTTTGTTATCGTACACCCGTACCACCTTTTAAAAGTCCAAGCCATGGGTCCAGCAGACTATCTGCCGCGTCAACGTTTTTGCCGTTGGTGGCTGCAGCAGGAGTTGAGGCAACCAAACTTTGGTCGCTACGTTTTTTTCACTGACGAGTCCTGTTTTACAAAGGACGGTTATTTTAATAGCCATAACAGTCACATTTGAGATAAAGAAAACCCTCATGCCATAGCCATCCATAGAGACCAACATCAGTTTTCAATTAACATCTGGTGCGGCATTGTGGACGAGCATATCATCGGGCCATATCTGCTTCCACCACGTTTGGATGGGCATGCTTATGGTCGATCCTTACAGCATGTGCTACCGGAACTATTACAAAATGTGCCACTGAATATAAGAGCCAACATGTGGTTTCAACACCATGGCGGTCCAGCCCACTTTTCTTTACAAGTGCGGCAGTATTTGGACGACAAATTTCCAAATAGGTGGATAGGCCGAGGTGGCCCTGTGCCTTGGCCTGCGCGGTCACTTGACCTGACCACACTGGATTATTTTATCTGGAGCTATCTGAAAGCTTTAGTGTACGAAACTCCTGTTCCCAACCAACAAGAGCTACTGGGAAGAGTGATGGCCGCGTCCGCACATGTTCAGGACATACCGGGGGTATGCCACAGAGTTCGCCGATCATTGAACAATCGTGCACAGCTGTGTATTGAGCAAGGTGGAGGATACTTTGAGCAATTACTGTAGGTAAGCTGTTTCAAGAAACTGATCTTTTTTTTTTGCTGCAGCCCAAACGGCATATTTCCGAACAGGGGTTTATAAGGAAAAATTGTTCATTTTGATGCCCTCTACAACCCCTATCATTTTGTCGCAATAATTATGGAACACCCTGTATAGGTTTCTTTATACGGAGTCCTGCTCGCTCGAAAATTTTATAAAACCTCGTTGCTGTTGAATTGTGGCACTGTTTCCTCCACAAAATTCATGTTTTTGTTTCGGTTTCATTCTCTCGTCTGGTAGATCTTCAAAGTGTTCACCTTTCGAAGAAAGCTCGGACATTGACGAGTTTTCGCTGCTTAGTATATCGCTCATAGTTTTTTTACTCCAAAGCAGCCGCGCAGGCAAAGCTTAAAAGCCAGGGCAGCGAGGCTGCTATGAGGAGCTTAAAGAAACTTTGTTAATCCGATTTTTAAATTGCCCAAGGTTAATAGAACTGGGAGAAGCCTCCTCATTCCCCCCACAATCTCGATACTATCGGAACTACACACGCTCTTCCTGCTGCTCGCCAGAGGAGCTCGGGACAAAGGAGCGGTCGTATCGGCCAGTTCTGGATGTACGAAGTTCGACACCTTTAGGATGGGAGGCCGAAGTCAGGCGGCTCTATCTGGCAGGCACATCGCACGGCGGCATCATCGAGGAGAGCTCTGAGGAGCAAAGCCTTTAGCTCAGCGGTTGAAGCGAGCTAGATCGCCGACGGTCCACCGGTGCGAAAGTGTCCCCAGACTCTCCCTTATAGAAGAGCCATCGGTCAGTAAATGCTTTA